AGCATTATTTGATGCCTTTGTTCTGATCGTGATGTTGAACGTGTATGAAGCAACGACGCCCCCGTTTGCCGCCAAATTATACCGGTAGTGTTTTAGAAACGTTTTACTTACCGTGATATATATAAATCGACTGGCACTTTATACCTTTAGTTAATTTTTCACTTTTGTAAATCGACCGCATGGGACATGGCAGTTTCACAATGTGCAGTGTCAGTCTCGGGGCCATCTTCGTTACGGTATGAGATCACATCTATCGCATTTATATGTAAGTAAATATTTTAGGTCAACAGGGTGCCTACGGCGATTGCGTTACTGAGACTTTATAACGATTGATTTTTATCCATTTGACCGTTATAAAGGCCCAAATCATGATGTTTTCGAGGTATATTATTTGGTATGATTCTTTGATACACACACGTCCTCGTTTTTACAAAAGAATGTAATTTAGTTAATTCAAGTAAATCGTCAGTATTATGTATATGAAAATACTACATTATATAGGATTCTGGATTCCAATAATTCGATGTTAGAATTACTAAAGTACGTCGTTTTGCATTCGATATCAGGAGTACACAATCAAAACTTATTGCGTCAATAAATTTACGAAGTCATGTTTAGACACGAAATTTATATTTCAATGAGTAATATCAAAGATTAAAAATGTTATTAAAAAAATTAACCAAAAAAATAGGACCCACCTGCAAGCACTACCTTTCGGGTAAAAGAATGATCAAAATCGGTCCACTAGCGGCCGAGTTATGTCGTAACACACATAAAAAATAAAAAAAACATACAGACAAATTGAGTACCTCCTTCTTTTGGGAAGTCGGTCAAAACTCATTGAGCAAAAGAAGTTTCGATTGTGTACCCCTGACTCGATGTTCTATAATAGATTAGAGCCAATAGGGCAGAGTGCGAAAGGTTCAGTTATATGTTGATATTTGAAGTATAGAGCACATAGTGCCGCTTTTAATAGTAAATAGTTTCAACTTCGTCTTGTATCTGTCTGCAGTAGTATTAAATAACATATAATGATATTTATAAGCTGCAATTTAAATTTACAATACACTTTAATGATTGTTTATCTCCTTTCTATTGCACGTTTTTTAACTGTTTTCAAGTTTGATTTTTCTGTTTTAAATCCAATTCCATTATTTTTTATTTTCGAATGATTCTGTTTTGCTTTATTTTATAACTACCCTCGTGGATTTAGGGTAGAAACACACTGATCACAATTTTTGATAATTTTTTGCATATTCTTATTTTTACATTATGATTTAAACCTTTTTGGGAAAATTGACACTGCCCTAGATTCGATGATAACAGTGATCTAATTTCTTCTTTGTTAAAAAACTTAGAAAGGTCAAAACTGTGTTAAGTGTGTTTCCATCCCATACATCTGTTGCTAATGTTTGAAAGGAACACTTTTGTTGTGAATTTTTAATGCATTAAATCCTGTAATATCGGACGAGTTAAATGTTGTGTATTTAAAAATTTATGTACATAGATATTTAAATTGTTGTAAATAAATAGTTTATTTTAAATTTTATATAGATAAAATGAATAAGTTATCTTTTTTATATTTTTTTTAGTTAGCATAATACATTTTTATAAATTGCAGATTGACTATAACAAGGTTTTGTTATTTTTTTTTGTAACACTGTAAAATAACCAAAGCCAAAGATTATAAACTTGTGTTTTGCATTTTTCATCACAATGCTTTTCTGTACGCAAATGGACTATGACGTAATAATTCGAACAATCATTGTTTTTTTTTGTAATATAGATTTAGTAAATGTAGTTCAAATGACCTGAGATGCTTTGCATAAATCTCTTTCTTTGTCTAATTTTAAACTTTTAAGATATATTTTATGCAGGCTTTCTTAAAATCATTCAATAGGTTTTACACATACTTCTATTAATTCCTTCGTGTGTATTTTTGTCTAAATTTAAAACAAAGCCTTAATAACTTCACCTTTAGTATATTTTATTTCGGGATTTATATGGTTTTAACATAATAAATCAGTGAAACAATATACGAAAACTAATAATACTATCTGTTATATTGTTTGAGATTTTTTTTTTATTTTTCGGCAATAATGAAGTCTACATATTTCATTTCTTCGTGTACAACTTATTATATTTTATTTTTATGTATTTAAAATGTGTTGTTTTATTTTTATAGCTTCTATCAACAAAAAAAGCTAAAAGAGAACTAAGGAATAAGGACAGAGAATAAATAGCGTAAGAGACTGCAAACTATATAACTAACCGTTTCTTCATTAGTTCGCTTAAGTCTTTTTTTACTTCAAATTAGTTTGCAAATATTTTCGTATTTATATCGGTGATTGTGCCAAATATATATTGACTTGGAATAAAAAGTTCCTATGCACTTTTGAAGTAATTAAATACTTTGTTTTCTTAGCGTTGGATAAAGCGAAACGGACATATCATTTTGGTTATATCTGTCTCGCTCAGTCGCTAGTGAGGCGTTTTCAAGTGGATGAAGCTGTGATGACCTTAAAATGACATAATTTTGCCTTTTGAGTATAATTCATTGTACATTATCTAAATTATTTTTATATCATTTCAAAATACTAACTAGTGTTTTTAATAGGGTATATTTATAGTTTTTATACTCGGAGCACATTTTTTTACAAAGTAACTATTGATTTTTTTTTAAATAAATTTTCAGTGTTATAGTGTACATGAAACTAAGTAAAAACTATTGCACTCTAAGTTAATAATAAATATAAGGGCTAGAAAAATGTAATTATTTTACAAGTCTTATTTCAAAAATATTAGATTTTTCTGTGGATTTAAATTATTTGAACTGTTTTAAAAAATGTAAGAGTTCCCTTAAGTTCTATTAGAAAGGTTTAAACATTTTTTCAATTGTTACGACACAGTGGAATTGCACATTTATTGGTAGTTTTATTTATTTATATATCGTGATATACTATGTTTATTATATTGTACGATTGTAGAATCATCGTTTCTATATACCACAATATATTTGTAATATTACTTGGATAGATATATAATCTATTATTTATTCCGTCTCTATCACTATTGCCTTATATTTGTATATTACTGCGATCGCCAATGCAATAAAGGTATCGAATTGTTATATTTTCCATTTTTATATGTTGTGCACATTTTGTAGTGTTGTATACTTGATATTCACTTCAGTAAATTTTCATAGTAACAAAATTTGTATTCAAATTTGTAGATAGCTTTTATATAGCTGTTAATATATTGTAATAATTGTGTACCTGGTCGCCATTTGTAGGCATAAAGTAAGCTTTTGCGAGAACGTCGTAGTTAGCAAATGTAACAGTAGCACTAAAAAATTTAGTGAATTATTTAAGATTTTTAATCAATTATGTTATGTATTACTTTACAGTTTTGTGTGTAATATTGTGTATTCTATGTTAAATCGAAGACTTGTTTTTAAAAATTAATAAATAGTAGTAATCCACCATAATTGATATTTTTCATTGTTTATTAAATCCAACTACAATACGTTTATTTCATCTATTTTTTCTAATGTAAAAATATGAAATAAATGGATAATTTAGAGTAATAATAAATGGTAAGACGGTATAATCAGATTTATTTACCTTTGTTACTTATACATTGGTAAAAATATGCTATGAAACAATCTGACTTAGCATTTGGTTTGTAACAATAAATTGACGCAAAGGTTATGTTTATGTAAGGAATGAGAGATCCTTGCAAGCCGAGAGGCAGAGCGACGCGGAATAGAGGAACACTGAAATCGTATGCAAAGCTTTCAAAGAATCAGTATTACTTTATCTTATGTGCCTAAGAAATAAAAATTTCCTAAAATATGCAACTCTTGTTCATGTTAACTTGGTAAATGACAAGGTTTTTATGTCGTTATTCAGTAAAAGATTATTTCAATACAAATAACTATAACCCTTAAATTTTTAGTATCGGGCATCCATAGATATTTAATATACTCATAACCATAAACAAATTCAATATGTTCTTAACCGAGTTCATCATTGGATTGTTTACACATTTGAATTGTTTATAATTACTGATTACAATTTGGTTTTCGAGTGAAATTAGAACGCTGGTAAAACTAGCCTTAATTACAAGAAAGCAAGTTTGACTTTTATAAAGGCCACAATAATTTAGGTAATTTGATAAATAAAAGGGTGTATACCCTCTAAGTGGGTAGGTAGGAGCCATTAAAAGTGATCCTTATATATTAAATCACCCAATCTACTTTCATAAGATAGAAGAGAATACATTTACATAAATGCAAAGTTAAGATTACAAAAACAATCACATACATTAAAAAGACATGCTGATATTATGATCGAGATATCATTTACTTGGAACGGTTATACTATTAAAAAATGTTAAATTTTAGAGTAGATTGGGTTGTTGAGACAGAATGTGGAACTAGAAGTTGCTGCCCTCAGGCGGCTGCGACAGCTTCATGTTCTCCTTGAGGGTCATGAGGCGCCGCAGCTCCTGCAGCACCGTCTTGATCGTGTAGTCGCGCTGCCACCGCGCGAGGATCGGCACCTGTCTGTTGTCCACCTGACAAATTACAATTTAAACTTAGGCAAAACGACAATTACCCTTTAAAATCCTTTTATACAGAATCAATTCAATTGAAACAAAACAAGTTATTCAAACAATCAAAATCAAATAAACAAAAAAAAAATCCTAGCTGTGGAGTTGAAATGACAAACAATTTAATGTAATTCTATCTTGTAAGCATTGTCATTGGTAAAAACAACCATCGCCATGAGAACCGTAACACAGTGAAAAAAAAATGTATAATTTACGCCATATGACACAAATTGTATAAGCAAGAATCCCATATGAAATATTTCATGTTTATTCACTCCACATCCTTATTAAGTAAAGTTGCAAATATTATTCTCTAGCATTATTCTTTTTGAATACATTACTAATTAACTTTAATTTGTATTTAATTATAGAGAAAGATACTTATATCTACCTATTCCAAATACAATAAAAGGTTCATAATTACGATTTTACTTCAAGACATTTTTATTTGCAGTAGCATTGAGCATTGAAGCAGTGAAATGGTTGCAAGGTCACAACCTAATGAATAAATCAATAACAAGCAAAGTATACACAATCTTTTGTATCAGGTATAATGTTTTACATTGTATTAAATCAACATAAAGATTATACAAAACACATTTTGTTCTTTTTGTCCCAACAGAGTATGATGTAACTTTTACGAATGACATGAAAAAATCATATATCTGTACAAACATTGCTTTCATTAATCAAAAAGTTCATCACATGAAGAGAAACCTTACAAAAATTAAACTGTAATCAAGGTTTCCTAGGTAACATCAAGGCTGGTTTAACATAGTGATATTTTTAAACATATAAATGTATGTATTTCCTAGAAGGTTGCAATGGATCTTAATGAAATTTGGTATATATGTACCACATTGAAAGAACACACAATTTACTGATGAAGGTTTTTTTAATTCCGAGCAGTCACAGGCGACGGATGAAATAATACTTACAAGTCCAGTTTGGCTGTTCACACAATTCATATTGATTCTAGACATAAATCGAGCAGTAGGTGGTTCATCGGGGTACCGAGTACCGCATTCAATCTTGAGTGAATACATCCTGTTTTCATAAGGAGTCTGGAAATTTAAATAATGTTTATGTAATACCCCACAAAGTAAAAAACATTACTCTCCAAAGTGGTCACATAATAATTTACAACTGTGTTTACATTTAGTTGGTTAATCTGGGAATCAAGAAAAAATCTACAATTTAAGGTTCTATATTAGATTTTACATTAAAAGACAAAGTTCTCCCAGCATAGTTCAGTGTTTTGTGTAACATACATCATTTCAGTATCCAATTTTTGTATAAAAGTATACTTTGAATTTTTGTAACTTTCATTATATACTGAAGTTTTGAAAAAAGCTTACTCATTAGTATGTTTAGTTCTACCCTATCCATGTAACACAATATACAGAATTATAACAAAGAATTTTGTACAGTCAAATGTAAGTCATGGACACAAGCATTAACATATTTTCAGTGCTAAAAGGTACAAAATGCAACTGTAGCAAGAATATTGCAATTCAAATGAGTACAAATCAAATAATACCAGCATAAAGTGGACATGGTATACAATTTTATCTACACTTATTTGTTAAAAAATAACCTTAACTGTGTTTTTACAAACATTTTGTTTAGAGACTATGGTGTCAAAACTGTTCATTTAGAACTATTCAATACATTGCTAAAAATTGCAGCATCTTTAGCTGTAGGTATGGATGTTCATACTGAAAACTAAAAAGACAATGAATTTAGTTTATCATTGATAAAATTAGTATTTACATTTATATTCTAGTTACAATTACAGTGTATTGTGGAGTATTTTGCAGTATCTAAAAATAGACTATTTAATTTGAATTAAACCATTTACCCTAGGTGGGCCAATTATCATGCCAGTCCAGTGAGTCAGGGTCATGTCATCATCACTCTCGAGACCCCAAGATATAGTCCCATCGCCCACTCCCTTCTGACCTTGCTCAAGTTCTTCTAGAAGTCGAAAATTACGTGGAACAACTGTCAAAAAAAATAACTACAATGAAATGATTTGTACATTTGTCAATAAGCAACTTGGTCAAATTTGAATACATTAAATAGGTACAGATAATCTGCAATACGAAAAAAAATTAAATCTTACCAACGCCTGATGACGGATTCGCCATGATCACAATTTCACCGGCGCTCACTATCTATTAGGAAACTAATTTGCTAAGTGCCTTAATTGTAAGTGGCAAAAAGAAATGTACCATAAAAATTGTAAAACTTAATTAAAGTTAAACGATTAACAATTATTTGTTATGGTGCAATAAAATTTCATTTATTCTACAAAATCTCTTACTCGACCCAAACTGCTCAAAGAGCAGGTTAGAAGTTTTTTTTGCTGACTTTGACAAATGTCAATAGTCTTTAATATCTGTAGTCTATGGATTTACAAGCTGGCCGAAAGCGTTTAAGGCGGTTGAAGATGCACCTTAATTTGAGTTTTATGCAGCTCATGAATGTTGCTTGTAAGTTGTTTAAATATAAAGTTGATTCCTCAAGAGAACTGCATTTTTTTAGTTCGTACCAAAACAAAAAAGAAATCAGATAACTATAGTCTGTGCCTAAGGATTTGTCTATGAAAAAAAGAGCCCATCGCGTATCGTGGACTATGCGTTTTCTTTTCCTCGTATCGAGCTCATCAATTTGTGATACGTACACATGGTTGATAAAAATATATAAGTTGTGGCGCTGATCGTTAACAATAAAGGTAAAAAAAAACGTAGAAAGTAATCATGAACGACTGTGATATTTGATAAGTTGTATAAAGTGATAGTTCAGTTTTGGAGGTAAAATGCCCGCTTCCATTTGTGACACAGTATCTAGCGCATTGCGTTTATCCCTTGCTGAAGACTCTCAGAGCTCGTCATTACTAGATAGCAGATTGTACTCCTCTGCTAAAAGTGTGCTTTTATCAAAGATAGAGTTTGTAGAATCCGGTGATTACCAAAGCAACGTACTAGATGGTTTGAAATCAAAGTATGTCGTTATCCGTTCTAAAAAACCTGTGCTTGAGAATAAATTGCTGAAGAAGGACGTCTCATCGGATAATCAATCGGCAGGTAATGGCAAAATTTGTTATATTATAGCTTGTGACGTTATCAGTCTACATGTGTGACAATGTTGACAGAGGTTATATTTTCTAAATCATGTCAATATTTACAACACCATAAACAACGATTTACGATTATAAACCTATTTTTTTCAGCACTTTCTTAACTAAACTTAGTAAATAAACTAAAAATTTCTCTCTACTAAGTAATTTTATTTAATTTTAATTTATTCTCGAAGTAAACCTTTATATTAAAAGTTATCGTTTTTTTGTTTAAAGCTAACAAAAACCGTGAGGATGGCTTACCAAAGCCTAAGCGAGTTTTCTTCCCTGTTGAGAAGGTTCAGTTGGGATGGCAGGGGACATGGAGTGCGGGATCGGGGATGCAAAATGTAGGCAATACATGTTACCTCAACTCTACATTACAAGCTCTGTTCCATGTACCAGCCTTTGCTAATTGGCTGGTTACAGAATCAACACATGCCGAAAAATGTAATCAACAAGGTAAGAAATTAATTTAATTTAATTTTTATAACACCTATTTTACTGTGTGTAAAATTTGATATTTACTGTTAGTTATAGTTGTCAAAAGAGAGGCAATTTCAATTGAAAACTTATTACATTAAGTAATTAATAACAGTGCTCTATTATCACATTGGAGATGTAAATAAAATTAGCTCATGCATTGCATTAAAATTATATTTATTCACAATTGTTACAAGACTACTAAGTTAATTGTAAAAAAACCACTAATAGAATGATTTGAATTTTACAGAAGCTTGTGTTATTTGTGGAATGAGGGCAACATTAATGGCAACTCAGAAGAGTGGCGGAGCACCAATCAAACCTTGGCAGGTTTACTCAAAGCTACGCCTCATTTGTAGGCACTTGACTCCTGGAAGACAAGAGGATGCACATGAGTTTTTGAGGTAAATATATATTAAATTCTAGCTGAGTTCTTCTTGTTGTACTACGTCCCCAAAGTGGGACAGAAGGTGTCCATTATGAACCGCCAGCTTGCTCTAAATTCTAGCTTAGTTAGAAATTAATAATTTGTTAATGCATTTATTTATATAAGTCGGTATTCTAAAGTAAAATTGTAATATTTTCAACAGGTATTTGGTAGAGGCAATGGAGAAATGTTATTTATCAAGATTTGTAAACTCTGATAAGTTAGACCAATATAGTAAAGAAACAACTCCGTTGAATCAGATTTTGGGTGGTTACCTGCGGTCCACTGTGAGGTGTTTAGCTTGCCATCATTTGTCAACTACATACCAACACTTCCAGGTAAGTTTAAAAACTATACCAGCGACCCACCCTGGCATTGCATGGGTCCAGTGCTGATGTTAAAGTTACTACAGAATGTCTACTACATTTTACATATAAACCTTCATGTTGAATCACTATTTAAAATAAATACTGCATTAAAATCTGTTGTGTAGTTTTAAAGATCTAAGCAAACAGGGGTGGACAGACAGTGGGAAGTGACTTTGTAGTGAAGGTGATAAGTGGAGAGAAATTGCTCAAATAATGAATTGATTGTTGTCCAATCAGCAATAAGTGAGAATGTTTTATTCTGTTACAGGATTTACTACTAGATATAAGGAAGCATTCAACATTAGATGAAGCTTTAGATTCATTTTTTTCTCGAGAGAGATTAGAAGATTTAGGATATAAGTGTGAAGCTTGTAATAAGAAGGTTAGTATTTTTTTTTATTCTAAATTAAATTATTTTGTAACCAGTTGTTTGAAAGTTAAGATGGTATATTTACCAGTACTGCACTGCATCAGTAATACTATAACAGATTAAAGTTTAAAATAATGTTAATCCATTTATTTTTCTAGGTATCAGCAACAAAACAGTTCTTTGTGGAGCGAGCCCCTATGGTACTCTGCATAGCATTGAAAAGGTTCTCCTTAGCCGGGGGAAAGCTATCAAAGCATGTACAATTCCGCAAGAAAATAAACCTTAGCAAATATATTTATAATAAAAATAATCCACAACAATTGGTAAGTTGGTACATAAGTTAATCAATATGAATTAAAAAACCGATATGGTACTAGCTTTGGCCGGCGACTTTGTAACCGAGAAATTAAAAATAACTGAAGAATAAAACTAAAGTATTTTCTTTGTTCTGTATTTGTTCTAAATTTCACTTAGATATTTCAGTTTGGAAGATAGTAGTGATAAATCCATCTGTTAATTCACATCTTATTAAGATTATAAATGCGAAAGTTTAGATGGATGGATGGTTTCTTTGAGTTTGTACCCTTAATGGCTGAACAGAACTCAATGAAATTTGTCATAGACATACACAATAGTCTGGAAGAACACATAGCCTATTCTATGTTGTTTTTTAAAATCCCATGCAGACTTCAGACTATCAGAATTTTCTAGTTTATATGACAATATTAGTATGTTAATCCTATCATCATCATCATCATCGTCATCATTATCATCATCATCACCAGCTTCACTATATGTCCCCACCAAGGGGCTCGGAGCCTACGTTAATAATCCTATCACTTAATGTAAATTTTCCATTTTCAGACATACAAATTGGTGAGCTTAGTGACTCATCTTGGACCATCACAGAACTGTGGACATTACACAGCAATAGGACAAGCTCCTAATAGTAATTTTTACCAATTTGATGATAGCTGCGTGCGATCACTTCCCCTCTCAGCTGTCCTCGGCACAAACGCATATATAATGTTCTTTGAAAGAGATAACACAATAGATGACATCAATCAGCCGACTGCTTCTACCTCTAGTGTTGTCTATGGCCCACAATTACCCGACAACATTGTTAACAGAGAAAAGAGTCCCCTCAAAATAACACTTTATCGCAGCGATGATAAAAAACCAATCATCCTCAACAGCACAACAACAGAATCTACGAAGCCTGAAGCAAAACCAATCATATTAAACACAACATTAAGTAAATCTTTAGAACCCAGTTCTATTTCTGAACCATGGGTTGTGAAACAAAACGGAGAAGTGGAGAAAGTAGTGCAGTACCCAAAAATATTGAATGGTACCGATAAATCCAATCACAAAGTTGATGATGATAAGAAAATAAATGTTTTCAAGAAACAAGTCGATGATTGTCCCAAAGCTAAGCTATCTAAGAGTGATTCAGATATTCGGTCAATAACACTAAATAGTAAAATACTTGAGAAATCTGCATCGACTAGTAAACTGGTGAAGCCACCGAAATCACCTCTTGAGAAATTGGAAGAGCAGATGAATAAGAGTGATTCTTCCAATCATATAAATAGGAATGGGAATTCCAACTCTAAACTGGTGCCTTATGATTCAGAATCGAGTAGTGATGAGCGTGCTGAAAGGTCTGATGATAAAGTAAAGGGTGATGTTAAAGCTGTGATCAGTTTAAGGCCGAAGCCCAGCCGATGTGACTCACCGCAAGGGCTTGTGGTCACAACAAAAGGAACACAGCACAAATGGACCGTTTCAAAAGAAAAAAGTGGACCACTATTGAGTCCTAGTTTGAACGGAGTGACAAATAAAAAGTAAGATTTCCTAATATTATCTAATATCCAGACAGATTCAAATATTTAATTTTTTTAACATTGAATTCTTGAAATTGGCCATCTGTGCTATTAAAAAGAATTTAATTATTATTATGTCCTTACCTCTAATACAAGAATACTGGCAAGGGTTGGCATAATGGTCATTTTTATTTTTGTATTTCTCCTTGTTTCATGTTATGGGTGTTGGGAGTGAAATCGCAAAACATATATTAAGTTTTTAACTGTATAAAATGATGCTACATTAATATATTTTCTTTGATTATTAAAAGTAATCAACCTTGTAGGGTGAAAGAAAAGGAGGAGCCTCGCGAGAACGAGCAGAGTCCCAACACGAGCGTAAGCAGCATGTCGCCCTTGAGCGACAGGAGCGAGGCCGGCGCTGCCCCCGCC